CAATCATCTTTTAATTTCATGGCTGCAGTCACTATCTGCAGTGATTTTGGAGCCCAAAATATAATGTCTATAACTGTTTCCATTGTTTTCCCATTTATTTGCCATGAAGTGATGGGACCAGATGCCATGATCTTAGTTTTTCGAGTGTTGAGTTTTAAGCCAGCTTTTTCACTCTTCTCTTTCACTTTCATCAAGAGGCTCTTTAGTTCTTCTTCACTTTCTGCCATAAGGGTGGTGTCATCTGCATATCTGAGGTTATTGATATTTCTCCTGGCACTCTTGATTCCAGCTTGTGCTTCATCCAGCCCGGCATTTCACATGATGTACTCTGCAGATGAGTTAAATAAGCAGGGTGACAATATACAGCCTTGACATACTCCTTTTCCAATTTGGAACCAGTCTGTTGTTCTACGTCCAGTTATAACTGTTGCTTTTTGACCTGTGTACAGATTTCTCAGGATGCAGGTAAGGTGATCTGGTATTCCCATCTCTTTAAGAATTTTCCACAGTTTGTTGTGATCTACACAGTCAGAGGCTTTAGCCTAGTCAATGAAGCAGAAGTAGATGTTTTTCTGGAATTCTCTAGTTTTTCTATGATCCAGAGGGTGTTGGCAACTTGATCCCTGGTTCCTCTGCCTTTTCTAAAACCAGCTTGAACATCTGGAAGTTCTCAGTTCACATACTGTTGAATCCTAGCTTGAAGGATTTTGGGCATTACTTTGCTAGAATGTGAAATGAGTGCAATCGTGTGGTAGTTTGAACATTCTTTGGCATTGCCTTTCTTTGGGACTGGAATGAAAACTGATCTTTTCCAGTCCTGTGATCACTGCTGAGTTTTCCAAATTTCCTGGCATACTGAATGCAGCACTTTCACAGAATCATCTTTTAGGATTTGGAATAGCTCAACTGTGATTCCATCATCTCCACTAGCTTTTGTTCATAGCAATGCTTCCTAAGGCCCACTTGACTTCATTTTCCAGGATGTCTGGCCCTAGGTGAGTGATCCCACCATTGTGGTTATCTGGGTCATGAAGATCTTTTTTGTATAGTTCTTCTGTGTATTCTTGCCATGTCTTCTTAATATCTTCTGCTTCTGTTAGGTCCATACTTTTTCTGTCCTTTATTGAGCCCATCTTTGCATGAAATGTCCCCTTGGTATCTCTAATTTTCTTTAACAGATCTCTAGTCTTTGCCTTTTTATTGTTTTCCTCTTTTTCTTTGCATCGATCACTGACAAAGGCTTTCTTATCTCTCCTTGCTATTCTTTGGAACTCTGCATTCAAATGGGTATAGCTTTTCCCACTGTGGGATGTGGAATCTTAATTCCCCAACCAGGGATTGAACCCTCCCCCCGCCACACACATTAGAAGTCAGAGTCTTAATCACTGGACTACCAGAGAAGTCCCTTTCCATATCTTTTAAAATACTTCCTTTGTGATACTCTCTCCAAATGAGGTTTCCCATTTTCTGCTGGAACCTTGACAGATACAACAACTTAAGAGATACTATGGCTGAGATAGGCAGAGGGAAGTTAAGTAATTTGCCCAAGGTTCCAAAGGGAGGAAATAATACTTGTAGGCTATGTCACAATTATTTATGTATCTATCTTAAACTAACTTGCATTTTTTTATTAGAAAAGATAAGCATAATATTCAGTACAAATAAGCAAAATGAAGAGAGAAAATACATTTCTGCCCATCTATTCCATCCATTATATATTTAATAAGATTCCCACATTTTTATCTCCAGTCAAATTCCTACATTGAGCCTCAGGCTGTATATTCAATTTTTTATCATATATGCTTCATTTGGATGTCTCAAAGGCACTTGAAACTCAATATGTCCAAAAACAAGTTATTTCATGATCTTCCCAATCCTATCCACAACCAAGTACTGTCAATTTTACATGTAAATGTCTCTAGTATGTCCATATCTCTCCAGCTCCACTGCCACCACCCACCTTAGTCCAAGACACCACCATCTCTTTCTTCGGAGAGCTCCAAATGTTGGTCTCCCTGTATTTATCCATCTACTCTTGTCCACTTCAATCTATTATTCACATGGCAGACAGAGAGACCTTTTCAAAATTCCATCCAGTCATAGTGCCCCTTGCTTAAAACCAGGAAGTGGCTTCCACTGGTTTAGAATACAGACCAAGGATCTTATTTTGGCCCAGCTGATCTCAGCAGCTTTGCCTCATGTGCTTCTCTACTTGCCATAGCTCCATGGGTTGGCTTTCAACTGTTCCAATGAACTATGCTTCTTTCTACTATGGGGCCTCCTTGTTCTCTCTTTCTGGAACATTTTTACATACACCCTCCCTGGCAATGTTAACTTCCAGAATGGTCTAGACACTCTTACACTTTATTGCTATGAACCTTTCCAAATTAATATTTATCAGAGTTTGAATTGACACACCAACTATGTGGTTTATTTCCTCCACAGCTCCTCTAGTAAGCTGTATAGCAATGAAGGTCTCCAACTGTCTTGTGTCACCTGTGTATCCCAAGTACCTTGTCCCATGCCTAGCCCATAGTATGAAATCAAATATTTGAATGAAAATAATGCAGTGGGAATAATGAGAAAGTTGGACAGAATCATATTAGAAAGTGCTGAATTCTTTATTATTTCCTGTTTCTTTGCTTCCAAGTCTAAAAATGATATCAATTTAGTCATGTTTCAACTCCTTTACTAGAAAGTAAAAACTATTAAAACTGGATAAAGAAAAAAATTAAATTTGTATTTTAGTTTCCTCAAGAAGATACTATTTGATACGAATGGAGGTATCAGGGTAGGCGGGCGTGCAAGAGAAATGTTTGTAAGTGCCAATAGATTTTCATTAATTTCTTAGAGTTCTCAACATTTACTCTGAATTCACGTCAAAATTACATCTTTTTGAGGGCTCTAGTGATGACAAATCCAGCTCTAGGAGGATAAGATGGAAATTAAGGGATAAAACTAGCAAAACAAGAGACTGATTGCACAATAAATCATATGCACTTAATATTCCTTCCAGTTGAAAGGGAAATAAGCTTTCTTTTTTAAAATTTGTTTCTGCACTTTAGTCATTCATTGACCTTCGCTTTTAAACTGTATGTCCCACTTAATCTGTGATTTTGAGTTCTTAACTTTTTCGCCTACTTGCTTCGAGTTTGTTTAAGAACTTCAGCTTGAAAAACCCTATAGACCACCAATAACTGCCAAATCTTCCCCTAGGGACACCTCTCACTGCGCCCCGCCCCCTCTCGAGGGAGGGACCGCGACTGCGCAGACCTCCCTGTGATGTCACAAAAGAGCCAAACCTGGTGGCCGGGAGTTGAGGTGGGGGCAGCCCTGCTATCGGCCTTTCAGGTCCGCTTCCTTCCCTAAGACCACCCCACTACCCCAGCCCAGTCCTCCCCTTTTAGTTAAATCGTTAAGAATAAAAGCACCAGGTTGAATCTCCACGTGGCCACGCCCATACTCTCGTCAGGCCACACCCCCTACTTGAGTGGCGTCCCCCAGGCACCACCGGCAGGAGGGCTCCCGCTCGCGGCGAGTACAGGCGGGGAAGGCGGAGCCAGGCCTCTCCAGCGCCTAGTCTTTCAGCCCCATAGCGGGCCTGGCTCCCCGGGCTGGGCTCTAAGAGTGCCGATCCCGGCCAGCTTGGGCGGGAGAGGCGCGCGCCCTTGAGTGAAGGGTGAAGGAGAGTAGAACATCGCCCCCAGCCCCGCTCCCCCTCCCCCGCCCCACTCTCCAGATCAGTGAGCGCACCGAACTCGGCTGCCCCCTTCAGCGGCGGCCGCCGCGGCGGGAATGGGCGCGAGTTACAACGTTCGCCGGGAGTCGGAAACCTCCCGGCCCAGGTTCTGGAGGCCGCCAACATCGCGGGCGTAGCCTCGTCCTCCTCGTCCTGGAACACCAGTTCAGAGTGGTTGACCTCCCACCAGCATTCCAGCTGCCTGTCGAACACGTCCACAGCAGCGGACGCCAGATACACCCGAGGCTGCAGCGCGCCCTCCCAACTCATCCCGGGTTTTGGCTTAAGAACTGACACAGGTCTCAGGGTTGGCATCCGGGGCTTTGGCGCCCGCGGCCTGAACGACAGGGTCAGTATGTCTGCCCTCCGCCCGACCACCACAGACGAGGCCGCCTCGACCTCTAACCTGGGCCCCAGCAACCCCCGGGTATCCGTACAAGGATCTGTCCCGCCCTCAAGGTCTCCCCGATTGCCCCTACAGAACACCTTGCACTCAGCACCGGGCTCCACCCAGATATCAATAGGAGAAACTCCTAGACCCACTAACACCTTCAGAGGGTCGGTGCAGGGGTCCATCTCGCCCGTGAAGCCCGCCTTTATCAAAATATCGGCACCAGCACCTCCACCACCCAATAACACTCCCCCAGTGTTACTACTTGGATTAACCTCGCCCTCAGTATCCGGCTCCACCTTGGGTTCGGTGCAAGGACCACCTACACCCAATAACTCCCCCCCACTATCAGGACAAGAGTCCAACCGTGTCTCCATGCCCGACTCCCAGCAGTTAGCTGCAGAAAGATCTGCCCCGCTCTCAGCCTTGTCCCGAGAGTCGGTACAAGGGTCTGCCCCGCCCTTGGTGGTCAGCTTTCCTGAGAGTTTGGTGCGAGGATCTATCGCGATTTCGGACTCCTCCCGAGTGTCGATTCGAGGGTCCCCCCCGCCCTCAGATCTTAGCACCCCTCAGAGTTCGATACCAGGACCTCTTACTCCCGTGAACTCTCAAGTGTCCACACAAGAGTCCACTCAGCTCTCAGAGCAAAGTTACCCCCAAAGATTAGTGGAAGGATCGGCTCCACCCCTGGATTCCCCCGGGGTACCAGTACCAGGGGTCGCTCCGCCCTTGGAGCCCGGCTCCGCCCAGGAATCGGTGGAGGAATCGGCTCCGCCTTCGGGCTCCCCCCGAGACTCGGTAGAAAAGTCCGCTCCGCCCTCGGCCAGACCCACTCCTGTACCCACGCCCCGGGAGAGCCGCAACCAGGGCATGGAGAGTCTGCAGAAGACGAGTGACGCGGGCCAGATGTTCGACGTAGTCGTGATAGGAGGCGGCATTTCAGGTCAGTCTGGACCGTAGCACTAGCCTGAGGGACCCTGGCCGGCCCAGTGTGGGGGACTTGCCGTCTGAAAGTGGCGTTTGGGGGCGGAGGTGGGTGGCGGGGGGTGGGTCTCCCTTGTGCATGCGAGACTGCTACAGCTGCCGGCCCCCGATCCTGCGAGGAGGGAATGGGATTGAGCCGGTGGTGTGACCTGGGGGAGGCAGGCACAATAATTTTTACTACTACTACGAAATACTAATATTTAATTAGCTCTTGCCGTGCAGTTGCATTTAGCAGTTTACATGGATTTTCTCAGTCCTCAGCGGTCCTGTGAGGTGGGTACTCTATTCGTCCCTATTTTACAAAACCTAGAAACGGAGGTAACTCTGAGAAGTCACGTCACCCAGCTGGGAAAGTGACAATGGTTTTCTCTCACGTGAGACCCTTACTCCTAATTCCGGCGGTGGTTGTTCTGCCTTGCTGATTTCACGCCCTTTGCCCCAAACAGAACATCAGTTTATGGATTTTTGTAGTATATCGAAGTAGTAATAGTGTTGTTCCAGTCCTGCTATTCTCCAAGTGCTTTTCCTTAGAAAATCTGGTAACTGGAGAGGAAGGAGGAAGAATCTTTTAGGAAAAGGTTTCTTTCTTTTTTTAAAAAAAAAGGTGGGGGCAGGGGGAGAGACATGGGCTCTTAGTTTTAATCTACTCCAACCTCCCCCCACCTTTTTTTTAGAACTCGCAGAAAGTGTAGGGCATTTATTGCTCAAAGGGAATCCCTCTGTGAAGCAGGGGCTGTGGGCAGATAAGGGAATACCCTGTTTGTGTCTTTCTCCACAGCCTGAATCTTGCCCTGTTATGAGGCAGCTGGCAAGCCTGTGTTCCTCTAGTCCCGGTTTGGGTTTGTAGCTGACCAACTGAGTGGTGTTGGAAGTTTCCTCGGATCTTCCTGGAAACCTCATCATGACTGAAACATTAAATTGTCACTTATGATGTCATATTTGGTAAAATGTTTGAAATTTAAGAATTGTGTTTCACGTCTAGATAGAGTCCCACACTAGTTTGTCCACGACCTGGGAGGATATTAATCATTTCTGAAATATACCTGCAGGATCTAATTTAGAAGGAGGAAGAAATGAGGTGGGAGGGAGTAAGTGGGGTGCCTCCAAGTAGCCATTTTTATGTATAATCCTTTGAGGAGACTCTGAACATGCTTACAGATGAATTTTGCTTGGAGATAGCTTTTGACTTGGCCTGTTTCGGGTAACATCTTTAACCACCAGGGAAGAAAGTGACTTGAGCTATTGCTCTGACAACTCCAATCAGGGCCAGCAAAAACACATGTATGTCAGAGCATTAGGAAAGCAGATCTTGGTTGAGAGTATGAAAAAGTATTTCTCTTGTTCCCCTTCATTCATTTATTAGCTTCTTTATTCATTCAGCAAACACTTGTTGAGTGCCTGCAATGAAGTGGACTGGTGTTTCTAAAAGCCTGATTCTTGTATGCAAGCCTCCTAGATAAGCAATGTGATTGTTCATCACTGGATAATAAAGATGATGATAATGTGTTGTGTAAATTGACTAGGAGTTTCATCTCCGTTCCCCATCTCCATATCATTCATATTTCACAGTTTAGGGTTCTTACTGTGATTTTATGCCTGTCTTCTTCTTGTTCTAGTATCCCTTAGGGAGCATTTTGTCTTTTACTTTTTCTCTGCCTGATGACTGGCTCTTCTCCCTTTCCACACTTTACTCGAAGTAGTTGGTCATGAACAGAATTGGATTTACCATGTAGCTGATGTAAGGTTCTACAGCCTTAAAACTGCAGGTCCCTTCTGGTTCTCATCCTAAAAAAAATAATCAGTTTCATACTGAATCTTGTATTTGTAATTTTGTATTCTTTTTTTTTTTCTTGAAGAGGCAACCAAATCATGTAAGCTTTAGGCTTCTCAAAATCTGGATCTTTCCATGGTCACTAAGAATTATTACTTTGTTCATTTCTACATGCGGGAAGAAGAGAGTATTTCTTGCACGGTAGTTCACACTCCTATTCCAGAACCCAACTTCCACTTCATCGGTGACAGTGGAAAAGGCACTGGGATTCCTTTAATATCATCTCTTATCAGTCAGATTTGATTTTAACACCAAAATTGACCAGAAACATTGCTTTCTGGCTGTGGTGTCTTGCCAGATGCTTCACAACTAAAATGAAAGTAGATGTAAGTCTAGCTCAGGATAAACCCTGCACATAGACGGGGTGTTTCCCAAGCAGGTGAGAGAGGTTACTTTGCAATGGTTCTTGAGCTCTGAAACACATCGTCTTTGTGTGTTCTTAGGAGTATCCCATGAGTTACTTAATAGTCCCTATATCAGTTTTAAATGCTTTTGGATATTTCTTAAAACTCTTGTCAGAACTGGCACATTTTAATGTGCCACATATATACATACTTATAATATATGGCCAATACTTTGCATCTGCTGTGTTATTCCTATTATATAACAAAATAGCTCCACAAAGCATACAAATCCTAAATTCCTCAAAAGCAATCCATATGCACGGAATTATCTTTCATTTTTTGTAACTATCTCTGCACAAAGAACAGCAGCATCTTAAGGTATCTCCCTTTTGTCATTAAAAATCATAGAACAGAGCATGTCTTACAACCACAAGATCCCGTTTTCCTCCCACTCACCAGTTAAATTTTATGTATTTAATTGAGAAGGGGCAACCCTTCCTATTATGGTATCTTCAATATGCTCTGACCCTTCATCCATCATCTGTCATCCATCACCAACTCCTTTCTGGAACTTCTTTCATGCTTTTTGTAACATCATCAGATCCTGAATTTTTATCCTACACTGATTGCTCCTTTTCTAGTCCTTTCATTGGGCCCATATTCTTGCAACCTTCTGGTTTTGAAATGGCCTCAAGGTTCAGTTATTCATCACTTTGGGGCTCATATGCACTCTCCCCCTCTCTTTTTCATTCTAGGACCTCACCTTTCACTTTATCTACACAAAGCTCTTAAGTCTCTAGTTTGAATCTTTTGCTTTGTCCCAACTCCTGTCCCATAGCTTTTCTGCTCTTGGATATTTATATTTCAGAGTTGACTGTCTTATTCTTACTTCATGTTCAACATGTTCCAAAGCCTCCTTGTCGTCCAACCCAGCTTCTCTTACTCACTTCCTCAACTCTGTTCTTGGCACCACTATCCTTTCCATCATTTGGGGCACTCCTTCTGTTTTATCTTCTGTGGCCAGTCAACAGATCCTTCTAACTCCTCCTTGGAGCTCTTTCATCTCTTGTATGTCCGCCATCCCCAGGAAGGACCCTTAACCCCTTTGACTAACCAGGTAACCATCTTCCTAATGACCACCCTTTGGGGTCTCCCTTCATGTCCATCCCAGACTTGATTTTTTTAAAATACTTCTTTCATCAGCTTGTTCTGCTTAAGACATTCAGTGGTCTATTGCCAGCCTCTCAAGCTCCCCTCCCCACCCCACACAAGTATCTAGTCCCACCTTGTTGGACAAGTAGCATTTCCCACCATCCCTAACATGGCTTTAGTCACACTGCTGTCTTGTCTTTAATGCTACACCATGTTTATTTTGTTCCTCTGGTCCTTCCCTGTTTTTGTTTTTCTTAACACAGAAGTGCTTCTCTCTGAACATTTGTATCCTCTCCATTCTTCAATACCCGATTAAAGCCCTTTTGCTTGATCCTTTTGCCTCTCCTTGACTTTTCTCTCTTGTGGAGCTTGTAATCTATATCTGACCATTTGAACTTATTTTATGTCCTATGTCTTGATGTTATTTTAAGGATAGCAGTTGAGTCACTGACTTTACATGCTAGTTCTTACTGACGAACCAACGCAGATAAAGCAAATGACAGAAACCCAGTGGTGTAAGATTTTAAAATCTGCCCCTGGGGATTTCTGAATTAGCTCTCTTTAGGAAGAGAGAATAAAAGGGAAAGAGAGGGGAAAAAAATCCCACCTCCAGGGGACAGTGAATACTTCAGAGTCTTTGGGCCAAAGGAGTTTTTAAAAGACAGTCTAGTCCAGTCCCCTAAGATTTTAATCATCTCCGCAGCATTTCCTGGCTATATCTTTGAACAAACACATCTAGGGAAAGAGAATGCTGTACCCCTGAAAGCAGCTCATTATGAGCAGGGGTGGCTCTGGGGCCTGGAAACTCGTTCAAGCATTTTGGGAGCTGCTGCCATATGCCTACCAGATCACGGAGCTAGAGGTAGATAAAGAGGCATAACAAGTGTCCCAGCTTACACAGTGCCCCACCCTCTTGTGAACAGTAACCAAGTGAGAAAATAATTGACATTCATACAATGAGAGAAATATTAATATTATGAATCTGAACAAAATGCCAGGACCTTGAGAGATAAGTAGGATTTTTAACAGGTAGAGATAAGAGAATAGAAAAAAGACATATCAGAGAGTCCAAAGGAGTACAGATACAGAGTCGGGAAGCCCTAAGCCACATATGAGCATTGTTTAATTTAAACCTATGACATGAGTTCCAGGGAAGGAAAACAGTTGCCTGCTGTGCCTCTAGTGATGTGATCCTGGTAGTCACTGAGGTCACCCTGGTGTGTCACATCTGCCCCCATGGTTAGCCAGGACACAGTGAAAGCACTTTCATCATAACACTGGATAGTCCTGGGTGATTAAAGTCTTTCCATGTTTTTTTTTTTAGATTAAATTTCAAGTGTCTTGTAGAGAGAGGTATTTCTAAATAGTGACTAAGCAACAGAACCTCCCTGTACCTCCACAAGCTGAGCTCCACTAAAAGACTTGAGAGCACTAGCCACTCAGAACGTTGTGCTGTGTAAGAGCAGCAAGGATGGAATCTTTCTTATCAGTGGAGACAGAAAAGTCATTTCGCAAGAAGACTGACTAATGTTCTGAATCCTGCCAGCGAGTCCACAACATACCACAGTTTCCCTTTTTGTTGAACTACACCACCATGAAGAATCATTTCTGCTAGCAGTGTTTTACCCAGAA